TGATATATACATAAGATGTGTAAACCACACACATATCACATTTCTTTATCCAAGCCCCCATGAGGATGGTTGCTTCCATACCTTGCCTGTTGTGAGTAATACTCTAGTGTACTTGGGGTGTATATTTCCTTTCCAGTTAGTGATTTAGTCTTCTCCAGATAAATACCAAGAAATGGGATTGCTGGATTATACTGTAGTTCTATTTTTTTTTAAAGATTTATTTATTTATGCTTACAGAACGGGGATACAGGCCAGAGGTGTGGTGGGTGAAAGGATTCACCAGAGACAGAGTGGGAACAGAACAGACAGATTTACTGAAATACACTGCTGAGGGGAGCAGTGGGCGGGTCAGGAGAGGTCTGCCGTGCCATGTGGGTCAGCTCCCTGACTGGGGATTGAACTCGAGCTGCAGTGGCTTCTGAGAGCCTCATAGTGTGGTGCTTTAATCTGTTGCACCATGAGGGTGAGCCCTGTAGTTCTATTTTTAATGTTTTGAGGGTTCCTCTCCGCTTTTCCATTTTGGTGGCCTCACCAATCGATATGCCCACGAATGGTGCACAAGGATTCCTTTTTCTCCACATCCCCACTAACACTTGTCAATCCGTCCCCTCTCCCCACCATGGCTATTTTTGCAGGTGTGAGGTGATAGTTCATTGTGATTTTGATCTACTTCTCCCTGCTGATTAGTGATGTTCAGCACCTGATTAGTAATGTTTAGCAGAACTGTTGACCATGTGTATATCTTCTTTGGAAAAACATCTGCTCAGAACCTCAGTCAGTTAAGTCAGATTACTGTTATTTTGCTGTTGTGTTGTAGGAGTTCTTTGTATATTGTGGACACTAACCCATTATCAGACCGATGATTTGCACATATCTTTTCTCATATCAGTAGGTTGCCATCAGTTTCAATATTCTGTGAGTGAATCTCCTCATTCAGGCCAGCAATTTCATTAGCTGTGTGTTCTATCTTCCATGACGCCGCAGGTGATAATGTGGCCAAAAATCCCACCTATATCATAGAGAGCACTTTTTTTTAGCCTCCAATGTCAATTTTTTCACTGCTGTTTCAGGTATCCCTAAACATTTCATGACTCCTCCCTTCACCTTAATATCTAAACAAATGTCAAATATTTTAGGGTTTTGCTATGGGCCCCTCTACTTCCAGACACCTGTCTGTGTCAGTTATTTAATGCTATGTAATAAGCAATCCCAGCATCTAGTGGCTTCAAGCAATATTCATTTGATTGCTCACAGGTCTGTGAGTCAGGAATGTAGCCAGGATTGGTAGGATTGGTAGGAAGAGCTCATGTCTTCCAGTGGGATCAGCTGGACCATCCAGGTTTAGAAGACTCAAGCTATCTCTCTGCTGGAAGTACCGGCCATCAGCTTGGGCACCTAGGTTCTCCATATAAGGCTAGTTTTCATGCAGGCATCTTTCTTTCCATGCAACCTCTCCATCAGGCTAGCCAGGACTTCTGTGTATGGCATTTAGTTAGCAAGAGGGCAGGACACAGAAGCTACTAGGTTGCTTAAGGCCTAGTCTGAGAATCCATACAGTGTCACTTCCACTACATTTTACTGATCAAAGAACCTTCATCTCTTTGTTGGGAAAGTCACATTGCAAAAGGACATTCCGGATGGGACAGATTGGTAGAACCATCTTTAGAAACAACCTCTCTCACAGCTAGAAGCAAAAAGATCATGAACCCAAATGCTCTCTGAGATCATCGCTATTTCCAGCCATAGACCTCATGTTCAAACTGTCCCCATAGCTCCCTGGCTGATTAAACAAAGTGAGGGCAGGAGGGACTTAAGGCAACAGTAGTGCATAGGAAGACTGCTGTACCACATTCCTATCTGGATTTGCGCGAGCATTTGAGAGACAAACCTCAGAAGGCAACATCTATCTGAATTCTAGCAAGGTCTTTGATTTGTGAAACCCAAGTTGCTTTTTGGTGGCTCCTCTCGTGGCCAGACAGCTACCAGGAAACCTGTCCCCGACTCCCTTCTGAAGATGCCACCTAGATGTGGTCAAGGACCACATCTCTCTACTCTTCACTTTTCTATCCTAAATCATGATTTCTTGAACAGGTGTTGGTATTTACAACATGTAGCTCATAGGATGAACTTAAAGAAGAGAGGGAAGTAACTGATGACTGGAAGGGTGAAAGGATGTGACAATGCAAAGGAAACAGGTGGCTTATTGTAAGTCATTAAACATTTTCCTGGCATGACCATTTGGCTTGAGCTTGTGGAAATCCAGTCTTTGGTAGTGAGCTTTCCCCAATATTTTCTTTAAAAAAAAAAAAAGATTTATGTAGTTATGCATACAGAATTGGGGTCCTGCCAGGGGTACGGGAGGCTGAGAGGATTCACAGAGACAGTAGGGAGCAGAAGGGCAGCTCTACTGAAATATGTAGCTGAGGGGAGCAGTGGGCTGGTCAGGAGAGGTCTGCTGTGCCATGTAGGTCACCTCCCTGGCTGGGGATCGAACTCTGTGTTGCACTGGCTGCAGAGAGTTTCATAGTGCTGTGCTTTAACCCCTTGCACCATCAGGGAGGGTCATCTGGGAGGGCCCCAACTTTTTCATGATTTAGCCACCATTTACCAAAATGATTTTCTTAAATGTACCATCATCTATAGTAGTTATACAGGTGATGGAAGTGGGAAGCAGTAATAACACAAATTCTAGGAAAAGCTGAAGGCAAAGTTTATAGTTATAATTGCCCTGAAAAAAATAATAATGTTTAGAGGCAACTAACTCTGGCTATTCTATTACAATGTGAAAAGTAGCAAGCAAATATGCAGGACTAGTAGAAGAATCATTTCTCCTTATGATGATGCTTATGTAAGAAGGTACCCCAAAATTAGGATGAGGCGTTTTACCAGTAAGAGAAGGTGGCTATAAAAAGATAATAGTGAAAAGCTATGACCAATAAAAAGAATGAGAACTTAATTACAGCCTCATCAACCCACAACAAAGGGTCACAAAGAGCCTTAATCATGACTTATGTTATTAAGACAACAACCCCAAATTTTCCTGACAACACTTTTTTTTGTGCCAATATTTTGGTCTTTTGCCTTCAAGCACTAGCCTCCTAAATAAAATCAGAGCTTTCAAGTGTATGTGTGTGTGAGTGTGTTTATTAATAGAAATACATTTGAGAAGACATGAAAGAAACAAATTACTTATCTCACCATACAGTTAAGGACTTTAAAAATATTCATGTATAATGTTTTTTAAAAATATAAAAATGAGTGGGAGAGTTGCTTTGTTTATACAGAGTAACACATATATAATTAATGACTTTCTTCATCTGTATTGTACTTGTTTAGATTTTTTTCAAGCCTTGTAAAAAGGCTATAAAGGAAAAACGATGTGTATATGTAATAGTAAAGAAATCATGTGCTTTATTAGTGACTAGTTTTTTGTACACTTCTAGTTTGAAGATCGTTCCAGACACTTCCCTATGTTCCCTTTTCACTTTTTAGTGTATACAAGACATGAAAAGATCTTCAAAATTAGGTTAAAAACAAACATCCTGATTGAACAAGAAAAAGAAAAATTTACTTCTTCCTAAATATATAAGAAGAGAGTCAGAATTGCAGAGATCTTTCCCAAAATTGATTCTAAAACTGGGTGGTGATGATACTTGTACAGCAGTGTGAATGCAGGAACCACCCCTGAATTGCACACTTGCACACTTTCGAATAGTTAAAATGGCAACTTCAATTGCATGTATCTTACCACAATAATAAAAAAAATGCTCATACCAAAAAATCCCATAATTAACCTAAATATGCCTGAAAATCAACCTAAAATCTGGATGTGAAAGAGAAAAATATATATAAATCCAAGTTGAACTTGGAATTGCCCATCATTGTCTTCGTTGACAACCCGCACCAGGTTAGCTAATGTCTGGGCTAGTATAAATTCAGTCAACGTCATCCCCAAAGAAGTGATGGGCCCCAGCAAACTGCCTCCAGGCAGTTTAGACACTGAGTGCCCTGAGTTCTCTGCTGAGCCAGCTGCGAGAGGAGCAGGCAGGCTCAAGAGCACTGATGCTCACTGTCCAGCTGATTTCGAGCAGGGTCCACACAAGCTGTCCTTTATGCAACCGCCCGCTGCCTGCAGACACAATCCTCTATTCATTCGGCCCTTTGAACATTTGTGATCTTGAGGCCCTTTGGCTTTTTGTTGCCGCAGATGACAAAAATAGGGGTGGGGGGTTGTGATAGGGTTTTCTTTCAACCAGCAGAACTCCTGGTTAAATGTAAAATAACAATATCGACCAATGAACGTGATCGAGAACAACTCTAGGCAGTATGTATGACTCCTGAGCAAATAATTCCAGGGTTTTTTTGTTTATTTTCTTTTTCTCATTTTTTTATTAAGGCATCACTGACATATAACATTGTATTAGTTTTAGGTGAACAGCAGAAGGATTCCAGGCTTTGCTGTATTGCAGAATGATCACAGTAAGTTCAGTTTATATCATCACCATACATAGTGACAAATGATTTTCTTAGGAGAACATTTACATACATTTTTGTAGCTCCAAATTAGACAATATAGCCATTAATTGCAGTTTTTAGTCTAAAACGAGATGGACTCCGCACAGCTCCAGGCCTGGTCCCGGCTTCTCTTCCATCACACTGGCTTCCACTCTGCAGGAGTCCCTCGGGTCCTTCATGCACCCCTTGAAGCCCGCCTCCCCCACCACCATAGCCTGGCCGCCAGCCTGCGGGCTGGTGTTGGGCTGTGTTGCTGGGGATTGGAAGAGTCTGGGTTACCACTCTGCTAGTGCTCGGAAGCAGGGCCCTCATCTCTGTTGACTCAGGGGACGCCCCCCCGCCCCCGGTAGCTTCTCGCAGAGCCCAAGCAATCTGCACCCCTTCCTCGTGGAACTTCACGAAGGACACTCAGCACCCACCTCAGGCTGATCACTTGACCAGACTGACCCTGCTTTTCTTGTCCCTTCTGTCCTTTAGAGGGGGAAGGCAGTCTCCCCGTGATCTCTCCAAGACCCAGCAGGGAAAGATGGAAGGTCTCGAGTCTCTCCTCACCTTAGAAGATGGGGTAAGCTGCAAGTCAGGTCTGGGCCGTTTGAACTGCAGCACAATTCACAGCAGCCAAGATCTGGAAATTTTTAAGTGCTTCTTGACACGTGAGTGGATAAAAAATATATGATATATATATAAGTAGTCTAGCACCCCCCATAACAAAGATGAAATCTTGCCATTCATGACAACATGAAAGAACACAGCCCTGGACTCTGACAAGGGCGTGGTGGTTTCCAGAGGGTGGGGCCGCGGAGGGGGGAGTTTAGAGGGTGTGGAAAGTGTGGCAGATGGAACCGAATGTTTGGTGGTGGGTATGGTGTGACAGATGCATTTGTTGAGGTTTGAGGCTGTCATCCTGAAAATAATATAGTACTTTAAACCAATGTTACCATAACTAAAAATGGAGAATTGACCAAATCCAAAGCCTGGATTTCATACCTGGATTCTTGCCAAAGAGGTCACATATCTGCTCTCTGTCCTGGGCAGAGGCCTTTTGATGACTTCAAGATGAAAGTGGTTGGAATAAAATATGGTTTAAGGATCCAATGCAGGAGTTTTGTATTAGAAAAATATTGTTTTCACTATAACTATTTTATTGTTGGGGGTCTTGCTGAGAGAAGCAAGACTAAATCATAAAGAAACATATAATCCAGTAGTTTCAATGGATAAAGAAAATCATTAAGAACAGGCTTTCCAAATTATAAGTTAGGTATGAATCCCATTTTGAATATTAACTGAACACGTCTGTACAGCTAGAATGCTGGCTGTTGCTGGTGCTCACACGTTGAGCCGCCACTTCTCACAGCTCATTTACACTGACCCTCAGAAAAGAAAAGGAGGACTTCAATGTCAGGAAATGTGGCTTGCATTCTAGGACGGCTTTAACTTCCAGAGCACCGAGTCAGCAATCTAGCAGCTTTGACTTCATATTCCTGACAGCTGTTTATTTTTTTTTTCAGTGTAATTTCAGAGAAAAATATCCAGAAGGGATTTACTGCCCTAGATGTATCTGAAAACATAGTTAAGACATTCTGTAGTTTTATGATACAAAAATGGAACACTAAATACATCCTCAAAGGGCAAGTTTCAGTAATAATTTATCTGAAATCAGGTAAAAAGGTTTGGAAAGCGCAAAACATCTTCAAAGCATGAATGCTTTGTTGAGACTTAAGAAGATGATACATAGGAACAGTAGAAGATGACAAATGTTTCCAATATTGTTTTAAGGTCATCAGGGAATTATAGAATTTGAAAGAACCTTTCAAGATTATCTGATCCAGATCCTAACCTCTGATCCCAGCATCTGGGAAAAAAAGCTCACCAACTTCCAGCAGGGGAGTAGAGCTGCTCAAAGACCAGAAATCCTTGGGCTCATAGTTGATGACTGCAGTGGAACCCAGGTCACAAGGTCTGAGCCCTTCACGCTGAAACCCAGCATGTGGACAATGGGTAAAGTTGGGACACAGACAAAATCAATCCCTGGAGAGGGAGACTGGAACAGATCACTGTCGCCCCAAATCCAGAGTTTGTTGTAAAGTTCACGCTTGTATAGCCTATGAGTTTGCACAAATGAATAATGACATAGCGCCACCATTAAGGAACTGTAGAGTAAGTCCTCACTTACTGTTGGTGACAGAGCATTGGAAGCTCACTTTAAGCAAACTTCCATCTAGCAAAACCAATTTAACCACAGGCTGATTGCAATAAACAAGACTGAAGTTCCTACGGCATATTCTTGGTCATCATTATAGATCAAGACCTACTTATAAATCGAGATACAAAATACTTGTAAAGTTCAACAGTCATTTGTATTCACTCATTCATTTATTTTCCAACCTGTGCATTTCAGCTCCAGGTCATGGATGGTCAGAGCTGATCCAGGCAAGTCAGGGCACAAGGCAGGACCCCAGCTTGGATGGGACATCTTTCCATCACGGGGTACATCTCACATGCACACACTCTCTCTCTCTTTCGGTCTCTCTCTCTCTCTCTCCCTCACTCTTATCTGGGGCAGTGGAGACATGCCAATGTCTGCCAGTGTCTGTGTGCACATCTCTGGGGTGTGGGAGGAAACCAAGCACCTGGACAAAACCCATGCAGACGTGGGGAGGATGTGCCAACTCCACGCAGATGGTGGCCCAGATGGGAGTGATTTGTAGTCATCAACATTTTAATGAAATGACATTGAATGAAACAGGGCCACGATATTTCCAGTGCCCTAAAAATCCTCTGTTCTCTGTTCATCATCTCCTGTACCCTTGTTCCTGGTAACCACTAATCTTTTTATTGTCCCCACAGTTCAGATTTTTCCAGAATGACATATATTTGGCATCATATAGAATGTAAGCTTTCAGGTTGGCTTTCTGCTTCATTCCATGTCTTTTAATGACTTGATAGCTCATTTCTTTTTAGCACTGAGTAATATTCCATTGTATGGATGTGCCACGGTTTGTTTATTCATTCACCTACTGAAAGACATCTTGCCTTGCTTCCAAGTTTTGGCAATTAAATTAATGCAGACTTTTATATGTACGTGTTGCAGATCATTAAGGAAATACCTAGAAGCACAGTTGCTGGCTCATCTAGTAAAAGTATGTTTAACTTTGTAAGGAACTTCCAAACTGTCTTCCAAGTGGTTTTGTATTCTTGTCGACAATAAATGAGAGCCCTTGTTACTCCTCAACACAACAGCATTTTAAGTTTGTCATTTGGAGTTTTAGCTTTCCTGATAGTTGTATAATGGTATCTTGTTTTCATTTGCATTTCTATAATGGCACATGATACCAACCATCTTTTCATATGCTTATTTGCCATCTGTGTGTCTTCTTTGGTGTGGTGCCTCTTCAAACTTTTGCTCATTCTTTAATAGGATTGTTTGTTTTCTTATGATATTTTCAAAGAGTCCTTTGTATATTTTGGATAACAGTTCTTTATCAGATACGCTTTTTGTAAATATTTTCTCTCAGACTGTAGTTTGTCTTTTCACTCTCTTAACAGTATCATTTGTAGGTCAGACGTTTTTAATATTAATGAAACCCAACTTACCATGGGTTGAACTTTTGATGTTGTTTCTAGCAAGTCATAGCTCAACCCGAGGTTACCTTAAGTTACCTAGTAGAAATTTTACAGCCTTGATTTTGAGTTAATTTTGTGTAAAAAGTGAAGTCTCTGTCCAGATTCAAATACTTTCGCATTTTTCTAGTGCTATTTTTTTTTTTGCTCATTTGTCAAAGATCAGTTATCTTTGACAAGATATTTGTATTTGTATGAGTTTATTTTTGCATTCTTCATTTGTTCCACTGATCTATTTATTTATTCTTTCACCAACGCCACACTGCCTGAGTCACTATAGCTTATAGTTAAGTCTTGAAGTCAGCTTATGTCAGTCACTTGAGCTTGTGTCTGTAATATTGTGTTGGCTGTCTGGATATTTTGCCTTTGCACATAACCTTTGGAATCAGCTTGTCTTTATGTACAAAATATCTTGCTGAGATTTTTCTTTCTTGTAGTGGCTTCAACTAGTTTGGCTTCAGGCTTATATAAGTCCATAGAATAAGTTTGGAAGTATCCCCTCACTGTTATTTTCTGGAATGGAGAATTGGTAACATCTCTTACTTCAATGACTTGTAGAATTCACCTATGAAACCATCTATATCTGATGCTTTCTGTCTTGAAGGTTATTAATTCTATATTCAACTTCATTAATAAATGTAGACCTGTTCAAATATCTGTTTTTCTTTCTTTCTTTTTTAAGATTTTACTTATTTATGCATACAGAAATGGGGTACAGGCCAGAGGTGCAGAGGTGGTGAGAAGATTCACCAGAGACAGAGTGGGGAGCAGAACAGGCAGAGTGATGTAATATCCTGCTGAGGGGAGCAGAGGGCTGGTCAGGAGAGGTCTGCCATGCCATGTGGTCACCTCCGGGGCAGGGGAGCCAACTCTCACTGAAGGGACCACAGCTTGGCTTAGCTTCGCAGTGCAGTGCTCCAACCTGCTGCGTAACCAGAAAGGGCCCAAATACTGTTTTTCTTTGGGTAAGTTTTGGTAAACTTCATCTTTCAAGGAATTGATCCATATCATTTAAATTGTTAAATCTGTGATCATAGAGTTCTTAGTTTCCTCTTAATGTCCACAGGCTCAGTGGTGATAACCCACATTCATTAGTGAGGTCAGTAATCTCTTTTTTCTTATGTGGAATTAGAAATTTATCAGGTTTATTAGTCTTTTGTTAATCTCTTCAGAGAATCAGTTGTTGTGTGTTTTTTAACATTTTCTTTATTAATTTCCTGTTTCATTATCACTAATTTATGCTTTCTTTTTTATTCTCTTCTGCTTACTTTAGATTTAACTTGTTCTTCCTTTTCTTAAACTGAAAGCTTAAATTATTATTTTTCTTCCTTTCATGTATATTCATGTGTATGTATATGTATATGCTATACTTTCTGTACCACAGATTTTGTGTATTCCAGAAACTTCAATAAGTTTTTTTAGTTCAGTTTTTCAATTTCTTCTGAAAATTCCTTTTTGACATGTGTTACTTAGAAGCATATTTTTACCCTCCAATATTTTTGGATTTTCTAGCTATCTTTCTGTTAATCAATTTCTAATTTAATGCCATTGTGGTCTGAAAGCATATTTTGTATGATTATTATTTCTTCACATTTGTGTAGGTGTTTTATGGCCCAGAAAGTGGATTTGTCTGGAGAATGTTCCATGAGAACTTGAAATAATGTATATTCTGCTGCTGTTGGATAACATAATCCTCCAAGGGATCGTGATGATTAATAGTATTGTTTGTTCAAATACATATTTACTGATTTTCTGCCTCCTGGATCGGATGATTTCTGAGGGAAGGATATTGAAGGCTCCAGTTGTTGCAGTGGATTTTTCTATTTCTCCATGAAGTTCTATCAGTTTTTGTTTCACATGTTTTTTAAATTGTGGTAAAAAATATATAACTAACACTTACATTTGCCTACTTTTAAGTCTACAGTTCAGTGGTGTTAAGTACATTCACGGTGTTGAGAAACTAAGCTCCAGAAGATGTTCCTCTTGTTCAATCAGAAACTTTACTCATTAAACAAGCCCCTTGTGTGTGCCC